TCTCCCTACCAAAACGCCACTTCATCCAACATCTCACCTGATGGGAACGTCCCACAAGGCACAATGCAGAACGGCGGCCTGGACTCGCTCCAGAGCCATCAGTATCCGATTCAACCACTCTCGCAGGCTGTGCCCCTTTCCAACGGCCACTTTGAGAGAGCCGGTACTCAAGTAAAGAATCGGCAACACCCTTATGGAGTTCACCCGCGTAGCTCTAGCACTTCTGGGCCGATTAGGAGACGAATCAGCCGAGCCTGCGATCAATGCAATCAACTTCGAACAAAATGCGATGGTCAGCACCCCTGCGCGCACTGTATTGGTAGGTTTGAGGCCTGGACGTCAATGTCGTGTTTCTGACTTCTGTAGAATTCGGCCTGGGGTGCGAGTACATTCGCGAAAGGAAAAAGAGAGGGAAAGCATCGAGGAAAGAACTAGCTCAACAGGCTGCGGCTCAGGCTGCGGCAGGTACCACAGGCCAAACCATCGATGATTCTCTATCCGAGAACGGCCAGACCAGTAGCAAAGGACTCGACTCTTCGAATATGGGACTAGAGCAACAATCGAATGAACGACATCCGAGTACGAGCAGCAAATCGAGCCGAGATCCAGGCGACGACGTGATGCGGCATACCCAAGGCCTCGAGGGTCTCGATCATCTTGGCAACATAAGCGAGCAACCCCATCTTGGCCGGCCTTCTTTAGATGGCGAACATATGGAAAACAACGGCGGTCTGGATTTGAACGGCTTTAGTAACATGCCGCACACGTATGACTCGCAGGGCTTAGAAGGTCCTGTGCTGAATGGCCAGTCCTACGCTCCTAATGGACGAGGCAACATGCCCGGTTACGCCGAATTCCCATATTCGATGCAGGCTCAAAGCCCTCCCAATTTCAACAACAGCTCTGCTTTCCGTATGGGAAACAGCCCGCTAGGGTATGCTATGGCTAAAGGAACATCTCCAGGATGGGGAATCTCAATGGCTTCACCACCAGGTCAATATCAAACACAGGCCCCTCCCCCCAACTTCAGCAACTCGAAACTCCGATATCCCGTCCTTGAGCCAATAATTCCATATCTCAACAATATAATCCCGATCCCTCTGGCTTGCGATCTGGTCGATCTCTACTTTGCATCTTCCTCCTCAGCGCAAATGCACCCAATGTCACCCTATGTCTTGGGCTTCGTCCTTCGAAAACGATATTTCCTCGACCAGACAAGGCCGAGACCATGCCAACCAGCCCTCTTGGCAAGTATGCTGTGGGTTGCTGCACAGACAAGTGACGCCCCTTTCCTTGCCAGTACACCTTCAGCACGTGCCAAGACGTGCCAGAAACTTCTGGAGCTTACAGTCTACCTTCTCCGACCTCTCATCCATACAGCACCAAGTGATGCGCCCAGCCCTGTTGCTGATGGTGTCGCTCTTGGCGGTCTCGGCGTGGCCATGCCTGGATCAACCAGCATGGAAGCCACGAGTGGCGAGTCGGGGCCTTTCGGCGCAGCCGGAAGCCTCGACGATGTGATCACATATATTCATTTGGCGGTTGTTGTTTCTGCCAGCGAATACAAGGGAGCGAGTATGCGATGGTGGACTGCTGCTTGGGGTCTTGCTCGTGAGCTAAAGTTGGGCCGCGAGCTTCCTCCTGGACCGTCACCTGCAGCTCAAGAGGCTATGGACACTGACGCCGCTGAGGATGCTGAAGGTGGCATCAGCGGCAACGGATACGTAGGGGAAGAGGAGCGTGAGGAGCGACGCCGGATATGGTGGCTCCTATATATTGTCGATAGACATCTTGCGCTCTGCTATAACCGCCCCCTATTCCTCCTTGACATCGAATGCCAGGGTCTATTACAACCCATGGACGACGCGTATTGGCAGAGCGGCGAGTTTCTCAACAACTCAAACTCAACCACAGATCCCAATCTTCTAGGAACTAGCCCAGAGGGATACAGAACTGAGCCCTCACAGGCGCATGGTCCTCAGTACGAGTGTCGTGGCCATAGCATTTTCGGCTATTTCCTGCCTCTGATGACCATCTTGGGCGAAATCGTCGACCTACATCACGCAAAGAACCATCCCCGCTTTGGTACCTCCTTCCGTCAAGGCCATGAGTGGAATGCTCAGACGGCCGAGATTACGCGACACCTCGAGATATATGAGCAGAGTTTGCAATCTTTCGAGCGTAAGAATTTGCCTCGACAGCTTGAGGAGAGACCCGACGTTGCAAATGAGGGCAACGGGATACCTGAGACCAACACACCATCAGTCCACTCGGTCCATACCAATACGTCAAACCGACTTACCGAGAGCAATATCCAGACTCGTATTGTTATTGCTTATGGAACCCATGTTATGCACGTGCTGCATATCCTTCTCTCCGGCAAGTGGGATCCTATTAACCTGCTGGATGATGAAGACCTGTGGATTTCTTCGCAAGGGTTCATTACATCAACAAGCCATGCTGTTGCGGCAGCCGAAGCCATCAACTTGATACTTGAATTCGACCCTGGTCTGGAATTCATGCCGTTCTTTTTCGGTATCTATCTCCTTCAAGGATCGTTCCTATTACTGCTTATCGCGGACAAGCTTCAATCGGAGGCATCGCCAAGCGTGGCAAAGGCATGCGAGACAATCGTGCGGGCTCACGAAGCTTGTGTCGTGACTCTGAGTACAGAATATCAGGTTAGTTCTTTGACAACACAAGCTTCATTGCAGTAACTAACAAGTTCACAGCGAAAATTCAGCAAGGTTATGCGTAGCGCTCTTGCTCAAGTTCGAGGTCGCGTACCCGAAGATCTTGGGGAGCAACAGCAACGGCGAAGAGAACTTTTGGCGGTGTATCGATGGACAAAGGACGGGACTGGCTTGGCACTATGAGCAGGGCTCTATAGTCATGGCTAGGAAATGAATGGAAACGTAAAAAGGAAAGGAGAAAAGGGACAACATACTTGGGGCGTCTTGGGAGGGACATTCGCTTTTTTTGGACGGAATAACGGCCTTAATGGACTCGAGATTGAGCTCGAGTATGGGAGCGACAAGGGTGCTTTTAGATACCATGAAGCGAACAGCGATGTCAGTTATCGAAAAGCCAAGTCTTTTGGCGTATGAAAATTTCAACTCTATTTAATCTTTAAGCTGCTTGTCTTTGTTGGAGCGTTCGGTGTCGGTTTTGTTCCAGTAATAAGATAAATCTAGGAGGAAAAGAGTGTTAGTAATAGTTTCAGAAGTACTGTTCAGAGGAATCGGGTGTTCGTAAATGTTCAGACAAAGGAAGAAGGGTGCTGAACTTGGCCGGGTGTGTTCAGCAAGATATGTCCACCGAACAAGAACAAGCCCACGGCTTCGAATCTGTGTAGACAACCCCGATTATTCTCTCTCCCATAATTCCATGTTGTCTCTCTTCATGATACTGTTGCTGTGGGCTTTCTTTCGTTTTCGCATCGTCAACATTTGTGCTGATGAGCGACTTCAGCAGCAACCCCTATTTGATCGAGTCAACCAACAACGTCCACAATCCACGATACGACATGATAACTTACGCGAATATCATCACTCTCACGTTCCTCTGCACTATTTAGTGGCGTTGTCCGAATACGAAGCGGTTTAACGATTTCAAACCGTCGCGCAAAGTTTGTTAAAGACAAAAGTCTAACCCAGCATTAGCGACGGTAATGCGAGTCGACCGAAACGAACTTCAACAGCAAGCTGCCGACTATAGATATACTATGTAGTTGTTCTGGAATCAAATAGGAAGTTGTGTGGGTTGATGTTGAGGATGGCGGCGAAGTTAGTGGGAGCGAGATAGAAGACATGGACAAAACAAATGGGGATGCATTACTTACAGCTACTTTTTTCTTTCTGATCTTGGATTACCAGAAGAAGAGTAAAAGGATGAAACAGAAATAGCGATTGTGTAAATGCTTTTCTCGCTTGAGTTGTTGCTGTTGCAAATCATGCTTCGTGCACCCTCGCGAGTAACCACGTCATGTTTTTTCCGCATCACGGAGGATTTAACTGTGTGCTACCGTTAGTATTTCAACTAGACGTGGGTAATGGAGGCTCTTTTCTTTTTTCCTGGTGGGTGGGTGCTTTATTTCAACGTCCAACGTCCAGACTCCACCAGCTGTGACTACAATGCAGCTTGGTGGATATTGCATCTTGCAAAATACTATACAGTCTTTATCTCTACACTCTATATAAAATCTAACAAGCGATATTCTTTGGGTTACTGTAGTTATCGAGTGATGTTCTCTTCACGCGGGCTACCAAACATAATAACAAGGCAATGGCATCAGATGGTGGACTCGCTCCGTCTGATCTAGTGCTTCTACATTTCGTCATGTTCTCGTCCTCGAGACGCGTTGTTTTCTTGCTATTGACTTACACGTCTGTACGCGTGATGTTATTTCAAAAAGCGAGGCCAAGCAGTAGGAAGAGGGACAATCAGTGAGCCAGTGCCCGTAGCAATATCAGTAGACGCCCCCGTTCTGTCCTGGAACTCAAGTATTCCCCTGTAGAAATTGCACAATAATGGATAAAGTCCTGCACATACCCATCTTCTATTAGCGGAGGCCCTTCTACCAGTTTTTTCTAATTCACTAGGTCCGTTTGTTGTTGTGATCTCTTGGTCTGTCTGCTCCACCCACCTTTTCTCCCTCTACACTCCCCTCCTCCTCCACTGCCTTTTCCTTTTGCATAACAACAACACTAGAAAATTATCATCACGCAGAAACACGATTTTTACAATCATTATCATCGTCTCTATCATCTTGATCATTCTCTTAATCACGAGCATCTTTCCTTCATCCCCTATCCCCTATCGTCATCCCGCATCCCCTACGCTGCAGCAGCTCATCACAGCTCGCATCGAGGCGTATCACCCTTCCCTATTTCTTGCAAAGACACTGTATCACTGCATCTTCTTGTTTCCCTGAATCACAAACCCTACCCTTCACACTCCCCTATTTCTATTGCCGCGGTGTCGCGTGCCCCGTTGGCAAGATGGCACCCCCAAGCCCCCCCAAGAATCCTGTTCGCCGTCCTCCCGGTCGGTCTCTAACTCGAGATACGTCCCAATCCTCTGTTGCACCTCAGAGTGTAGCATACCAGCCTTGTCCTCCATCCGCTTTTACACTCCCTGACGCACCTCAGCGTCCTACAGAGCCTCAGAGTGTACAACAGCCTCACCCTACCACTGATTTCCAGTCCTTCGCTACCGGCGAATTTTCCTTTGGTGATTACTACTCATTCGACACTGCATTTGACTACACGGGCGATCTTGAGAGCGCAAACCTAGATCTTACCCAGCCTTTCCCTGCTTTAGGCTTTCCCTCTACAGTTCATCCTGCAGTTGACACTACACCTATTGATCCCCAGCTATCTTCGGGTGGCCACCAAACCTCAATTTCAACTCAGATTACACCTGCTCAAACCCAGGCCAGTCCTACAACCAACCCCGCGATCTCTTCTACATCGCAGGTCCCTGCCCAAGAGCAATCTCAGCCCACAGTTGAAGAGCGAGTCTTGACTCTGCCTTCTACCACTGCTCAGACCCCAAGCCAAGCTGCTCCTCCAGCTGAGTCTACTTCCGTGCCTACTTCTGTACCCGAGGGTCCCTCGGAGCAACCTCCTCCAGCGACTGGCAAGCGTGTGCAGAAGGCACAGCCAAAGAAGTCTCGCAAGAGAAACGTCGATCAAGTTGACGTTCAGTCTTCTGCTGGACCTGCTGTCAAAAAGAGAGCCACTGACAAGTCCAAAGAGGCGTCTAAAGATCAGGCCCAGGAGCAACCTAAGGGACAGACAAAGAATCCGCTCAAGAGAAAAGCCGATCAAGTCGACGGTCAATCTGCCACAGGACCAGCTGCCAAAAATAAAGCTGCTGGAACGCCAGAGAAGCAGTCAGTGGAACAGACCTTGGCAGCTCTTTCGGACGCCCAAGTCCCTCAAGTTATCAGCAGGTTGAAGCAGAACAGACAGAGCCGACGGTCGCGGTGGACACAGGCCGTTGCCGATACGGTGGAACACAATCAAGCAGAGGCAGAAGCACTGATAGACAACTTCAAACCAATCGAGCCTCAACCAGCTACCCCAGTTGTTGACCTGACTGGCGAGGGTCCCGCTGAAAATCAACTTGCCGAAAAGCAACCCGCTAGAGATCAATCTACCGGAGAGCAATCTGCCATGGATCGACCTACCATGGACCAACCTACCATGGACCAACCTACCATGAACCAACCTACCATGAACCAACCTCAAAACATACCTGCCCAGATCCAAGATCCTGCTATCAGACCTCCAGGCTACTATGCTGACAAGGACGTTCGACGTAAGATCAAGGTTGGCGGCGTTACTCTTTCACGCGCGGGCTTAGGACTTCCCCATTTCCTTAATAGAGATCAGATTCATTGTCGAATTTCTTTCATCGACGAAGAAATTCAGAATCAGAAAGGCAAAGCCCCTATTTTGCCCCCATCCGAGCTTGCTCAACCTGATCCAAAGCCTTTCACCCCAAAGGCGTATAATGTACCTGTCAGCATCAAGGATCCTCGTGTTCGCCACTTTTTCGACAAGAAAAATCATGACCTCTGCACCAAGAACAAGAAAATTGATCTCGATAGGAATAATCAAGCGGCTAAGGGCACGCGGTCCCGTCGTGAAGAGGCTCTTGACAAGCATCGCGAACTTGCTAACGAGATGGCTATTGAATTGAACTGGTGGCGTATCAAGGCCATTTCTCTCGGAGCCCACTTCAGAGAATGGGACCATGTCCCCGAAACTGTCAAGAGAAACATGGCAAAAGAGATGACAGAGAGAGTGGAGAAGCTGGAAGCAGCCGCCGCAAAGGAGGCAAAGAAGCAAAGATCGACCATTCACTCCGCTCGAACCAAGGAGAACGCAGTAAGTCAGAAGTCTTTTTAAACCAACTCAACGAATAAGAATCATTATTAACATCTTGTCTTTAGCGACTGTCAAAGGAGGATGAAGCCCGAAAGAAGAAGGAGATCTTGGAAGTCGCTGCCGCTTATGCTGCTGGAGACCATGCTCTGATCGAGAAAATGGCTGATCCGAACTACCAAGCACTGCTCCCCAAATCTTCATCTGCCGCCGCGGGCCGCAACACTACTGCCAACGGTCAGAACTCTAACCGCAAGAAGAGAGCCACTGTTGCTGATCAAGACACCGAGACCAGCACCGCCGCCGATGTAACTGCGGCTGTTACTACTGAAGACGTTGCAGAGACTACCAACAATACTGGTCTTACCAATACCATTGCTCCTGACACCATGGCTTCCGATACCATGGACTTTGGCAGTATGGAATTTGGTAGCATGGAGTTTGACAACATACCCCCTGCCGATAACGCAACCTCTTACAGCATGCCTTCTGGTGACATGCCTCCTGGCTCTATCTCTCCTTACGCCATGCCTCCTGGCAACACAATTCGCTTTGACAACGGTGCTCATGTCAACACCAGCATTGCTCCTGCTCAGTTCAACATGACTTCTGCGCCAATTTACGGCGGTCCCAGCGTTGAGATCCAGACCTACCCTAACACCCAGAACAATGCTTTCGGAAACGCCCAGACTCAGCAACAGCAGTCTTCGGACTTTCCTCAGGGAACCAACAACGGCCATGAACTTAGACGACAACCTTCTAATGTCACGATGTTTGATGCTGAGCATGAGGCGATGCAGCCACTAGACCCTAACATGGGGACCATGATGGACGAAACCTCCCCCTATTGGGAGGTGACAAACGCTCCCAGCTCTAGCACACTTACTTCAAACGTGGATAGCTTTCAAGGTCCCATGGGAGATGTCAGCACCCTCCCACCTAACACGATGAGCCACAGCGTACATGGTCCTACGGGAAGTCCTCATATGCTCCTACCTAATATCTGCCAGAACTCGGACAATCTTGCGAACGGCGTGTCTTGGTACAGTGAACCCGAAGCTCTTGTCAATGCATTCCTTCCCAGCCTTCAGAAGGACCAGGACCAGAAAGAGTCTACTACCAACGACAAGGGGAGCACCGATCAAGTTGGCGCCAATGCCAACACCTCCGCATACCCTGATCCTGCCGAGGAAAGCTACATGTCTCGATACCTCAACCTGTCCCCATAATTGGGGTTTGACATATATGCACACATTGGGATTTTCTAAGCATCCACACATCATTGCCACGACATCGTGACCAGATGAATGGATCAATTTCACTTATTTTTTGCTGTATGATCGCCATCTCGAAAGTTGTTTGCTTGATTTTACTGCTCTTCTTTGAACTCTTGTCTTTTCTCTGCATGTTTATCAAGCTTTCGATTAACACCACGAAACTTTCAACTTACTATGCATTACGGTTGACAATACCGCCCGAGAGTCTCATTCTCATCAAAACACATATCAAGTATCCTTCAACCACATCAGCATTTCTTCTGCATTCATATCGGCGTTACGGACCTTACATGATCGGTATCAAAACAGATACCTGCCGCAAAGGCCAAGCGCGAATTGATTTTCTAACACACGGAAAAAGGCGTTCAGGAAGACCTTGCATCGACAACGGCATCGGCACGAATGTTTTATGCGAGACATGAAGGAAATGATTTTACCAGCACTGCGCTCGGCGTTCAGGATGGTATACCCTCCTCCGGAAGGAGAAATGTTTGCCACAAAGGCCCGAAGGGAATTGACCTGCTACGGAAAAGCGGTCGGCGTTCAGGATGAAACTATTTGCGGTCTCAGGGTAGACTTTTGCAAAAGGTTCAAGGGGATTGAATTGCACATTGAGGATTGTATTGCCTCTGGAAACCCCAAAAGGAAATGGGGTCTGTATAGAATCTTGTAACAGTATCAGAAGTCTGGAAAGGAGCAGCTTAGATATTCATAGAGACACTGGTAACCTTCACAGACATAGAAATACTAGACATAAAAACCATCCGTCTCTCTTCTGCTATTTTGACTAAGTGTAAATGAACTCCGACTCTGATCCGTCGCCTTATGGGTATAACCAACTCAACATTTCTCATTCCAACATAATCAAACGTACTTTCTTTGGTGGTTTACTAAGCAGTGATCGTAGTTTCAGGCTTAGGTTCAGCTGTCTCTGGATCATTCGTGGGCTGCTGCATGAAGGTTGAGCCTGTAGGATCAGCCAGGCAAGCTTTGACGAAGAAGACTGTGGTGACAATGGTGAGGATCCTGAGCGTTACCATTAGCAATTGTCATGCTTTTGAAGAGTCCCGCTTACCATGTAGCAGCTCCAAGAGCAACAGCAGCGGCCATCGAACCGCCCCATGCATCAAGCTCCCTCACACGGCCAATGTAGTAGCTATTATACAAATGGTAGAAATCAGCTGTCCACGAAGCAGCCCATGTCCAAGCGGCCAGCCACAAGATGGATGATATGACAAGGGTGGCGAAGAAGATAGAACGGATATACAGTTGAGGGGCAAAGAATTCGGCAGCAAGCATGCATCCTAGAACGATCCAGGTGAAGATTGCCTAAGCAGTGAGTGGAATGTCTCGTGGAATATTAGCAAGGGGAAAGACACTTACACTGAAGATGATCAAGCCAGCTGGGCCATCACCACCGTAGTAACGAGCCCAGCTACTTAGGAGGGAAACGTTGTATGCTGCGGCGATGAGGGCGCCCAGAGACAGAGCGATGGTTGCACCGCGGACAATGGTTAGCCACATGGGCATCTTCGGGACGCCTTTGGCTGTGAGGCCCATACTGGGAGTCGTAGTAGCCATGCTTCTGTAAAAGTAGATGGATTTAGCACTGTAAGTATCTGAAAGGGTATGTCAGTATGTGAATACAGCAAGCTGGGTGTGATCATGAGAACACTTACTTGTAGTATGACGAATAAATCAGTCGGTTAATCTCTTTCGCCAAACTGGAGAGGGAGAGGGACGTGGTCCCTATAAGTAGAAGTTTTCTCCACTCCCTCCTCTTGTCAGGTTCTCAAAAGCAAGCATAAATCATTCGGCAGTTGCAACGCAGATGCGGTCACAGGTACAGGCACAGACAGGGCTGAAAGGGAGATGGTCTACCCTTGTTGGTGTGATAAGTTGAGCAGATGCGCCACGCACCGCTAAATCATGTACTTGCAGTTACGAATATCTCTTATTGGATTGAATTTTCAGCTATGGCCAGGGTTGTTGGGTATTAATTCCTCACAGACAGAGACACGTAGATCTTGGTCTGTACTGGCTAGAAAGTTGAGTAGTCCCTCAGCCAAGGCATACCCTAGACTTGGCAGCGCTAAGTTCAAGTCGCGGGTCAGGAATAGATGAGGAGATTGTGTTCAAGAGATTTCTTATTGAAGAGGCCAACTTATTTTTAGCATGTTTGTTTGTTCATGTGAGGGTCTCTGCATCTGTTACATCTTGGAACCATACGGCCAGCGGTTAAAGGACCAGTAATGCAAAAGTGTCTTGTGCCTTTGCCCTGCAGCTTAGACTGTGCCTGATTCACGCCCTGTCATGTTTCACTTGTGTAGATCATTACAGGGGTTTATCGTATGCTGCCATTCCCTGCACTTTTGTTTCACTGAATATCAAAGTTGAAATTGTGTACATGAATATGTCTTTATTAGCTCTCTTCGTTGCCTGTTACAATAATCAATCAAGATAGACATCAAATTGAAACAATTTAATCTAGAGTCTCTCCTTTAGCAAACCACTTAATTTTGGCGCATGAGGATGGTCTGCTATTAAAATGAAACAGGTCGACGTGTCTCTCTGCCACTGTAACTCAGCATGAAACAAATTCGGTAGAATAGCATGAATATTAAATTAGGTACTTTAAGCAAAGGTGTACCTTCTATAGGTAGACAATATTGAATCGTTAAACTGCCATCATTAATCATACTCAGCCCATTTGCTTCATGGGTAGTACCTTTACTTCCTCGCATGGACCATTCTTCCTCTCACCCAAACTTGCTTCACGTTCCGATCATCTCCGTTGAACAACCACTTGGCAATCTTCTCCTCCCAAGTCTCCCACCCAAAGATGTTGACGTTGCCATCCTCCTCTGCGATTCCATCCATATCAACACCTCCGAGTCGAATCAACTGCGCATCCCATTCCATCCCTTCTTCAAACCCACCGATTCTATCTTCAAGCCCGACCACTTGTGCTCCACCGCGAGTCGCAAGGTACAAGACCTCCTCCACTGTCAACTTGTTTCGTTCCTTGTCTGCTTGTAGTCCCATGGCGATATGTCGACTGACGAGAGCTGCTTGTCGTGCCGCTTCGAGAACAGAAGGGCTGTAGCCACCGCTCATATCCGTGCCGAGACCAACAGTGATGCCCTGATCCCAAAGCCAGCGCACTCGAGCGGATCCACTGGTTAGAGAGCTGTTACTGCATGGACAATGCGAGATTTTGCTTCCTCGCTTTGCTATTAACTTGGCCTCTTCATCGGTCAAATGCACAGCATGTGCTAGAATCGTCCGGGAAGTCAACAGGCCGCATTCGTCGTAAAGTTGCGTATATGACTCTGACTCTGGAAACAACTCCGCAACCAGTTCAATCTCCCCTTCGTTCTCGGAGACATGTGTCTGCACAGGAAGGTCTAGCTCTTTCTGGATCTTTGCCAGCCCCTTCATCGACTCGCTCGAGCAAGTCGGTGCAAAGCGCGGCGTCAACACGGGCGAAACCAGCTTGAACCCTGGGTCGATCTTTTGCACATGTTGAATCGTCTGTCTCGTCTTCTCCAGACCTTCTTGGGCGCTCTCATCACGGTAGTAGCTGGGACACATGTCCGGGTTATCCATGCACACGCGGCCTACAAGAGCTCTTTGTCCGATTTCCAGACAAAGATCAGCAAGGAGGTTTGTCGCCGCTACGTCGATTGTCGCATAGTAAGCTGCCGTCGTTGTTCCGTGAGATAGTGTTCGTCGCACACATGAGCCATATACTCGGCGCGCCTTGTTCAAGTCTTTGAGGCTGGACTCGAGGGGAAACGTGTACTTTTCTAGCCAGTCCAGAAGTGTTGTTTTTCCAAATATTCCCACATTTGGGTACTGAGATGCATGAACATGGGAGTCTAAGGTTTGTTAGTGTGTGCTTTGTACGCTCTCTATGGGTAGGGTACTCACCGACAAACCCAGGGAAGAAGAACTCGCCAGTTTTAGCGATATGAACATCTACTTCACTCAGTTCCCAGCCCAGTAGTTCATCAAGCCTCTGTGCAAGCTGATCTCGGTCGCAACCTTTAGTGTCAACTTTGACAATCTTGCCCTCTCCATCAACACAGACAAGGGTATCATGATGGTAGTTGAGTTCTTTCGGGTTTTTGCTCGAAACAAAAGTTCCGAAAAAGACCTGCTTCTTCGAGTTTGCCATACTTGAAGATCCTGTATTTTGATCTCTTAAGAGGAGCATGATTGTGTCGATGAGTGATAGATGAATAGATAAATGAAAAGAGAGAGAGAGAGAGAGAGAGAGAGAGAGCGGGATGATGTAATACCTCAAAGCGTCGAGCCAAGAGAACAAACAAAGGGTCAAGAAGAAAGAAGCGAGAGCCAAAAAGCACAAACCTCTTTTCTAACCTTGGTATTCCAGGCTTATATATATATTAATCAACACGTAAACTTGACTTAGATCTGTTGACCGATATATCTATCTCCTTGTTAGCGACCAAAACGGACTTTGGCTCCGTGATAGGCCACCTCCACCTCTTGTCCGTCGCCGGCTGTCGCCGGCAGCCGAACCAATTCATTGGCATGCAAACGGAAGTCAGTGGAGACAAAAGGTACCTTCATTGCCGAGGCATCGTCAGCTGAAACCCAAGTACCTCTTGTCCGGTCGTTAATTATTCCCATCATCAGTTTCGGTCGTGTCACGGAACAAGTATCCCAAAGGTCACACAAGTATAGGCAAGGCGATCAATCAAAGATGAAAGTAAATAAATTTCATCAAACATTCAAGATTGTCTATCAGCGAGTAAAACAAGTAAACTAACGCCCCTCTAGCTAAAGATAACACGATACATCGTAATATACTCATCCCAAATAACAGTCCGAACCGAGGTTCTGTAGACTTCTCTTCATAATCATCCATCTCTAAGCTTGTCTTCCGTCATAATATGTCTTTGCATGATTCCCCTCCTCGTTTTAATTATATTCCTCTTCTCTTGTTTTTATTCTTTATTTGTTTTTGTTTTTATCTCTGTAACGGCTTAAGCAGCACGGCCAGATCCTTCGTATTCGCCGCTGGAGCTTTCGCTACCCTCAACACCGTTGGCAGCAACCTCGTCCTGGTTGTACTTGTCCCAGTTGGCCAAAACGGCACCGATCTTGGGCGAGTTGGTCAGCTTGTAAACATCCTCAAAGTACTCCTTGGTGAGCGCAAAAGGCTTGGCTGTCACGTTGGGAATGTACTTTCCAACCAGCTTAGAAGGATCAATAGAAGTCTTGTTGATCTTCTTGAGCAAGAAGGAACGGAAAGGCTTGACACCAGATCGGAGGAAGGTTGAGTGGAAGGGCACATCGATACCTCGGAGAGGGATGGTAGCGAAGCCACGCTCCAACTCGAGGGGTGTAGGCTTGGCCAGGGTCTTCTCAGCACAGCCGCGAATAATCTCGCGGAGGTGTCCCTTGACCTCCTCAATGTTGTCCTTGACCTCCTCAATGTCGATCTTCTGGATCTTGATGAAGTTGGTTACACCAGCAAGAGTGTCGAGCGCACGGAGGTCACCAGCGCAGACGTACTGCTGGTTGGCAATGTTGTAGTTGACAATTTCGAGAAGCCAGCCGGTCTCCTCAGCAATGTTGTCGACAACGAACTGGAGAGCAGCTTCATTGAAGGTCTTGCTGATGCGGCTGGGGTTGACAGCGCACATGGAGTAGTTGGATCGGCCAGCGGCATCACGTTCGACGGCAACCTGCATGGTGAGGCCACGGTAGAACACAACTGACACCAAGCTCTCGATGGGCATGACCTCAGCAAGAGCAGCCAGGGCCGAGTATTCACCGAGCGAGTGACCGGCAAATGTGCTGTTGTTGGGCACAAGTCCCTTGGCCTTCATATCCTCGAAGCTGGCCTTCTCCATGAGGGTAAGGGCAGGCTGAGTGAACTGGGTGGCCGAGAGAAGACCAGTGGGGGATCGGTAGGTGTACGAGGTGGTGGTCTCGTCGATCTCCTTGAAGATCTTCTCAGACTTGATGCTGCCGTCGGCGGCGACGGTCTCGAAAGTCATGGCGATGTAGTTCTGGCGGATAGCCTTACCACGGGGGCCACCAAAGTGGATGGTAAGCTCCTTGGGGTTGTTCTTGACGATGTTGGTGATGGAGAAACCTGCAATAGATTAGTAAATGTAATACGGATGATGATGTGAATATAACTTACCATAAGCGTCGAGAAGGTACTTGTCGGCGCGGTCCCAGACCTCCTTGGCAACAGGGCTGCTGGCGTACAGCTCCATACCCATGCCCTGCTCCTGAGAACCTTGACCAGTGAAGACATAGGCGGTAGCGGGCTGCTCAACCTCGGCCTCACCCTCGAGGACCTTGTCCTCTGTCTCCTTGTTTCGGACCTCGACCTTGATGATCTTGCGACCAGAGACCATGCCAGAGTGCTGGAGCTTGACCTCAAGATCATCGTTTGGCAGGACCATACCGACCAGCGAGGCGTGGAAGCTTCGAACACGTCCAATGTTGTTCTCGGCAGCCCAGGTCTCGATGAGGCTTCGGACGGAAGCACTGGAGTACATGCCGTGGGTAATCGTACCGGGAAGGTTGGCGTA